AAACGCGTCTGTACCACCTCAGAATGCCCGCGCGCCACTTTCGTGCCAGTACATAGTAACAGATTTCCGCTTATCATAGTGCTAAGAAAATGCGACAAAATCTGCGCTGAACAGATAGCCACGCCAATAATGTCGGCATTTTGGGCGCGCCGATGGCCAGCGTCACAGGCGCAGCTATTTGTTCATATGCAAACTTGAACGCATTCTCTTGGCACCGCAAGCACACTGTATCAAATGGAGAATCTACTCGATTGTACGTCTATGCAGGAAATCACCTACGGATATACTTTCAATACAACAGTGATAGTCGTCATGAGGTAGATTAGCTAAGATAAACTGATAATCAAAAAATGTAATTAGAGATAATGAAGTAATCACGACACGTAAATAAATAAATTAACTAATAAAAAAATGAATGACCCACCCAACATCCGGTGAGATCTTGAGAGTTTGCTTGCTGCTCGCAGTTTTCTGCTGTGGCTTTCCACTTACTTTTGTTGTTATGGGTGCAGTGGTCTTGCTATATGATGCGTCTGCAGATACTGTAGGTACTTCCTCAGCGCTTCCATCTAACCACATAGGTGGACGCGTCACGTTTTCGGACGTTGGAGCCTTATCTTCATCATCTTTTGGAATGGCAAACGTTCCAGTAGTAGTATCTGAAGTTGTGACAGATGCCTGCTCAGTGCCACCCAAAGGTCCAAGCAGTGTTTCCTCAGCTGCGACAATGGATACAGGCTCCCTCTCCGTTACGTCAGTGTGGGTAACCGCCCCCACACTGTCAGAAACAGCTTCGAAATTTTGCTCCGTAGTTTTCTCCAGCACATCATCAATATTATGCGTAGCCGTAGTAACGGCAGCCATCCTGTTGGTTGGCGGTCTGCGATTTGGCCCTCGCGTTCGACTCTGGAACGGCATTTATATCTTGTAAAAAAATGAACATTCATAAGATTTGTAAAAAAACTGGAAAAAAACTCGCCTTTGTCACCGATGCTAGAGGTGTGAATGGACGAGCGCTGGTGGCAGTGCTACCCTCGGAAACATCTTCTTGAGAAGAGGCTATGGTTAATGG